CCAGGAGCCGCACTCCTGAGCGCACCGCACCCCCGCCCTCCGCGCGAGAGGCGCCTTCCAGCCCTGGCGACCCCGTCCCGTCGCCGGCTGGACCACCGAGCGTGCGCTTCGAAGCGCCGCCGGTTCCGGGCTGCCCCCAGCCGCCAACGCAGCCGCCTATGCCCCTTGGACAACATTTCATTCTACGGGCGAGGGTGCATTGGCCCGAGGGGGCGCAGTGGATGATTTTCAGAGGGAAAGCAGTCGATGCCGTCGCGGCCAGCACGGTGGCCGACTACTTCGACGGTGCGCTGGCGCTCGAGGTGGCGGACCCAGCAGGCGTCACCATCCGCTTCCTCGTAAAGCCCGACGGCGTCATCCGTGCGCCGTCTCCAGGACCCTCCGGACGCCTACCCGCAGGGTTCATCGAGGAGCTGCTCCACCACGCACCCCAGGGATGCGAGGAGCTCGGCATCGGCGTCTCGGCGACCAACGTACCCGAGAAGGTTTGGCACAAGCTGGCAGCTTGGCATGGTCTGCCCGTGGGTGGCCGAGCTGGCCCACTCAGCGAGGCACGCTGGCGGCTGCTCAAGGAGAAGGTGGTCGACCTAGTCAAGTGGCACCCTGAGGGGGGCGTGGCACCCAGTCCGAGCTTCGAGGCGCAGGCCACCGAGGCGGACGCCAAGCTGCGCAGCCATTGGCGGCGGCTCGATCGCAGCAGTTCGCCCCGGCCGCCCTCGGGGTCAGCAAGGAGGAGCTCTCGTTCGCCGTCAGCCGAGGGCGGGCGAGCAGCCAGCTCTGAGGCGCCCGCGTCAGGAGATAGTCATCAGGGAGATGAGGGAGGAGTCATGATGGCCTGCTACTTGGAGGAGAAGGCCCGTGGGTCAAGCGATGCGGCCGCTGTGCAGAGCGTGGCTGCTGGCTTCGGGGAGGAAGCCCAGCAGGTGCTCGCCGGCCTCATCCGACATGCTCGATACCTCAAGCAGCAGACGAATGAGCCTGAGGAGCTCGCACGGCTGGATGGGCACATTGGCAGCTGGGAGGTGCTCCAGCAGGTGCCCTCGCGACCGCAGACCCCCGAGGCATCGCCTAACAGCCTCCAAGAGCTCCTCAAGCTCTCACCCGAGCACCACCGCTCACAGGGGCCGCCGGCCCCCACGGCCGACAGCGCGCCTCGGCTTGAAGCACACCCATCACTCTCGCCAGCGGTCGTCCTGCCGGCCTTCCCCGTCGGACAACGGGACGCCGGCCCCCCAGCTACCACGGCTGGGTTGGGCCCGGTCGTCCGCCCCCAGGCGCCGAACATCAGGTCCCTGTTTTGCTACGACCAGCACGTCAGTGACTTGGGCCTGCCCCCAGGCTTGACCACAGCACCGGCACGCTACGCTGCTGGGGCCCGAGAGGACAGTGGAAGTGCCGACCCATTCGGCCTCGTGCAGCCCGGGGCAGCGCTGGACGCGAACACCGCCAGGATGCTCCACGCGTTGGAAGGGGTTGCCAACGCCCGGCAGGGCGACAAGGCAGCCCCGCGTGGGACAGTGGCGGCGCTGGGACGGGCCGAGGAGCTGGACGTCTACCTGGCGCGCGGCTGCGGCCAGCTGACCGTGGAGGTCTGCGACGAAGTCCTCGGACGCGAGCTGTTCTACGCTCTGCGCCGGACCTGCGAGCAGAACAAAGCCCTCATGCTCGCCGTCGAGACGCCCACCACGGTGTCCAACCGGATCGCAATGGCGTGCGCCTCGCTAAGCTTCGGCGGTAGCAGCCTGGACAACCTGGCTCCGTGGTCGGCGTCTGTGGCGGACTTCCCGACCTGCAAGACGATCGCGTTCGACAGGTACAGCGCGCCACACGACACCAAGCTGGAGCCCAGGCCCAGGGCCCCCGTGGTCTTCGACCAGTGGAAGCGGCAGGCCCAGAACATGACCAGGTTCTTCGGGCTTGTCTTCGGGCGAGAGCACGTCAAGGAGCGTCTGGACTGCCTGGAGACTCTCGCACGGGAGTGTGAGAAGGACGACCACGCCTTCCCGCCCAAGTTTGTCTACGAGTTGTGGGAAGAGCTGTGGGCGACCTGGTGCGAGAGGCTCCGAGACAAGAAGCGAGGCCTCCTGCGCATGCTGCAGACGGACAACCCCAGAAAGGAGGACCTCAAGATGGTGGCCTTTGCTCCCAGGCCGGACGGACGCCCAGCTTTCGTCTTCCCTAACGTCTTCGACCTCGAGTCTCCCACAGGCTATTACCAAGAGGTCGTACGCCCGCGACAGCAGCGCTACCTTCAGACCGTTCTCAACGACTCGATGCACGGGGTGCGTGGCGCCCCGGGCAAAGCTGGGGAAGTCCGAGGAGGGGGAGAAGAACCAGCCGTCGAGCCTCAGGAGCAGCGAGCTGGCGCCATCCCCAAGAGGAAGCCCAAGGCCAAGGCCCAGCCGAAGGCCAGCTCCGCACGGGCCGCGCACCCTGCGGGCAAGCGGCTGAACGCCCAGGAGATCAAGCTGTCAGTCCGGCATGCGCCCTGCGACAAGCAGGGCAAGCCGCTCTGCTGGGACAACTCGACCTGGATAGGTTGCAAGAAAGGAACTGCGGGGTGCTCACACTCGCTCGAGCTTATCAAAGGGCTGAAGGACGTGCACTGGACCGTGCAGTGCCAGCTCCTCAGGCGGGGAGGGCTCCGCAACGCCGCCAAGATTGACCCGGCGTCGGTCAACGGGAGAATTGCACAGCTGAGGGCCCAGGCGAAGACCGAGGCGGACAGCAAACGGGCTGCAGGCGCTAGCGCGGCAGAGAGCCAGCCTTCCAAGACAGGTTGGGCGCCACCCGACGAGTACGCCGAGGTCCAGTGCACCGAGCTGGAGTCAGAACTTAGAGAAGCCGCTCAGGGGCCCGATGCGACCTGGCTCGAGGACCCGCGGGCCGACAGCCCGGCCCTGATCGGGACGAGTGTCTGCGCAGACGAGGGAGCTCTGGCCCAGCGGAAGCTGCTCGAGGCCGTCCAGGAGAGCGGGGTACTCGACTCCGTGAGCCATGCCAGTGACTACATGCGGTCGCACGTCTTGGCGCGTCTCGCGTGCGCCCGCGGGCGCGGAGAGGAGCTTTCGGTTGAACAGGTGCTCCTCGAGGCGACGAGCCAAGGCGGACCCACCCTGGCCGCCGAAGCTAGCGAGCTGCTGGACCGCCTTGGAGCGAAGGCTGGCAACCTGGGAGCCGACCCCGATGTCATCATAACGCCAGTGAGGTGGGACGCTGAGAGATCGGTAGGTCAAGGCTCCGTCACGGTGCAGGGCCATACTTGGCGCTACCTCGACTACCAGGACCAGCTGCCCTTGGACGAGTGCATCGCCAAGCGGTTACAGGTGGCCGCCGGTGTTTCAGAGGAGCGGCAGTGTCTCCCACTTCACCTGGCAGCCGCCAAGCTTTGGGTACATCTGGAGACTCCACCCGATGCCCAGCAGGTCAAGGACCTGGCCCTCGAGATCCGCAGGGACCTCCTGGAGAAGGCTACCGACGCAGCCGCAGGTCTCGCCGACGCTCCACCCTGGATATCCCCCAGGGAAGCCGAGGTCCGGATGCACATCCACGACGCAGTGCATCGCGACCACGACAAAGATTTCCGTTGCGTCGCCCTCTTCCCATGCGAAGCCTTGGAGGAGGTGGTGCTTAGAGTATGGCGTGCCGACCACTGGGGTCACTTGGATATCGATACGGTCCTCCCCGTGGGAGAGCCCAAGCAAGAGTGCCACGTGATTATCCATCGCGGGCATATGCGTGTCCTCCACCCACCGCCCGGAGTCGACGGCCGGCGGGTAGCAGACGAGCTCATCCGCACCTGGGCCACGAGCGGGAAGGACCTCAAGGAGCTCCCCACCATAGGCTGGGAGACGTACCTCGCCTCGGAGGAGGATGGCAGCCCGGTGGTGGCCAGCAAGCCCCCCCCATGCCAACATTGCAGAGCCTTGGCAGCACAGCAGCAGCAGCGTGGGAGAGCCGCCGGCGGTGTAACCGCCGCGGTCGAGCTCCCCACCGAGGTGGAGTGTCCAGACTTCGGGGACTTGGAGCCCCTGCGATTGAGGCCAGCGTTCGCATGGGGGCTCAGGACGCGGGAGATTTTCGCCGGGACTGGGCGTTGGACGCAAGCCATGAAGGATGCGGGCATCGCCACCAGCGAGTCTGTCGAGTACTTCGGGCAGCCGTTGCTCGGCAAGGACCCCCGGCCGCAGTTCGACATACGCGACCCACTGGTACGAGAGCGCCTGTACCAGGAGTTCAGCGCGCCCCCTGGGCCCGACGAGGCCAACGTGCTGCAGTTCGCCCCACCTTGCGTGAGCCATTGCCCCTGGCAGTTGGCGGCAGGAGGGACGAGGACTTTCGAGTGCCCAGATGGAACCGGGGAACGGCAGATCGAGATCGATGGCAACATATTCGGGGAGTTCGCGTGCATCGGGGCGAAGAGGGGCTACGAAGCGGGACGAGAGTTCCTCATCGAGTCGTCAGCACGGGATGGGCGGTACCCCAAGCTGTGGGATCGCCCCTGCATGCGGACCTTGATGCGCGCGACGGGAGCCCGGGTTCTCGCCATAGACATGTGCGAGTGGGGGCTTGCGCCACCGGACGAGCCACAGCATCGGTATCAGAAGCGGACCTGGTGGTTGGCATCACTTGGTCTCTACCCCTATGCCTTGATTCTAGCCAGGAGGTGCACAGGCCATCACATGCACCGCACGTTGGAGGGCGGCCTACCGTATGATCTAACGGACGCCCAGGTAAAGCCTACAACCTTGATGCTCGCACGCGGCTCAGTAAAGCCGAGGCCAGCAACAAAGAAATAAAAAAAAAAAAGAAAAGAAAAAAAAAAAAGAATAAAAATAAAAAAAAAAGTAACAAAAAAAAAAGTAAAAAAAAAAAGAAAAATAAAAAACAGAAAAAATAAAAAAAGAAAAAAAGATAGAAAAAAAATAAAATAGAATCAAAAAAAAAAAAAAAAGAAGAATTGAACAAACCTCAGCGCCAAACTGAGCGAAGCCGGCGAGTACTACGGCCTCGGCAACGACGGGGTCACCGTCACACTGCCCCCGGACGACAAGCTGATCCGCGTGAACCAGCTCATCGCGCGAGCTGCCCCAGACAATTTCCACTGGGCGAGGATCGATTTCCGCACCAAACGGCACTACTCCGCCTTGCCGGAGAGCCAGTGGGCCCTCTACTTCGGCAAGACCCCCGAGGGTGAGCTCCGCTTCACCCTCGGCAAGCAGGCCCCGTCCAACCTGGAGGGTGGAGGACGTGTTCCCAGCGGTACTCCCCAGCTCAGTGCAGCAGTAAAGGGAGAGTTGGGAAGCGCAGGCTTCGGGCTGGGATTGCGGGGCATGCGGAGGACCCAGCGCGCAGGGCAGTATGCACCGCGGTTGTGCGCTGCCTGGGCAGCCGTGCTCAAAGCAGCGGCTGCCGGCACCGCCCCAGAGAAGCTGGAACAACAGATCGCCGCTATGGATGCCGAGGCGCGGGCTTTGGAGGAGAAGTTGGAAGACAAGGTGGCGCGGGCCGGGCGCTATGACGCCCTGGAACAAGACCCCCCCCCTCTTTTCAGCCTCCGACCTGTGCGGGAGAGGGCGGCGGTACCGCAGATGGGGCCACCGACGAGTACGAGCATAGCGCGAAATGCGGCAGCCTGGAGCAGAGCGCCAACACCTGCTGCCTACCTCATTCGATATGGGGAAGCTCAATGGAGGTCGAATTCGAGGGGGGCTCAAAGGGCCACCAAGAAGGTGGTCATTCAAAGGACGACTACCTGGAGGGGAACGAGGCGGAGGCGGATGGCCTAAGCTCAAAGGGCGAAGGCCGGGGTGAGGAAGAGGTGGAGGTGGAGACCGACGGCGAGCCAACCATAACCACATGGGGTGGCGACGAGAAACGTGGTGGCAGACGAGGTGGCAAGCGAGGGGGCTGGAAGCGCAACAAGGCGCGCAAGCGTGAAGCACGCGAAGCTGCTGCTCGCGGAGGTGGCGGATCTGGCGGAGGCGGCGATGATGACGGCGACGGGGACGAAAGCCCCGAGGAGGAAGAGGAGGAGAACCGCCGCCAGAAGAAGGCGAGGGAAGCCGAGGACGAGGCGTCGCGGGCCAGCCCGGTGCGGGTCTTCGTCCCGCAGCAGGGGGACCAGTGGGTGTTGCTCAAGGGGGGCCCGTTCGAGGCTGGAGAGGTTAAGGCAAGGTTAAGGGTCGCCGAGACACTGTCCGGGGGCTTCTTCGACGCCGACCAGTTGTACCTCTTCGAGTACACAGAGGATGACGACACTGCAGGGGCATATGGGCCACCTCTCGACGACGAGGAAGCGGTGCGCCCCGGCGAGAAGTTGCTGCTGTGGGCCACGCTGAAGCCGCCCAAGGAATGGACCAGTTGGAGCCCCCGGTGGAACCGGGACCAACAACCCGCACCTGGTGCCACAGCCCAGGAAGGTCAGCGGAGAGTCACGGCCAGGATTGCTGATAGAGCGGCAGCAGCAGCAGCAGCGCCGGCAAGGCCGAGCGGGGCCGCAGCGAGCTCAGCAACCGGCAGTGGCCGCCAGCCAGCCCCAACGTTCAGCGAAGTGGCGGCAGCAGCAGGCGGCGCCCGAGCGAGCTCAGCACCCACGTCCAGCGGTGGCACTTCGAGGAGTTCAGGCGCTTTGATGCGAGTTGAGGAACAGCTCGCCGAAGCTCAGGGGCAGCATGCCCGAGCAGCGAGCGAGGGCGGCGACCAGGAGCTGAGCGCGGCGCGCGTGGTAGGACAGCTGGAGATCAGGCGCAACGAGGTCCAGGCCCGCCGCGCTGCCCGGCTCGAGCGCGAGGCGCGCCGGCGGGAGCGCGAGGACCAGAGGGCCTCCAGCGCACCCCCAGAGCCCCACAGCCCACAGGCACCCACGGGGGCCCCTCCTCCGCCCGAGGCCGAGGAGGACCCAGAGACCACCTCGGATGAGATGGGACGCCGGGTTGCCGAGGCGCACCCGGGCGTAGCCTGCCGTGGGGGGGTCCACAAGTGCAACGCCGCTCGACGATTCGTCAAGAACTTCAACGACGTGCGGAGGGGTGGCAAGAGCTACGACCTGCAGCATGCCGATATCCTGTATCTGAACGGGATCGGGCAGATCAGCGACGTCCTGATGCAGGCATATCCCGGGGCCGACCCGACGGATCCATCCCTGCCGCCGGAGCCTCGCCAGCTCGGCGAGATCCTGGCGCGCTACGTGGAGGAGCATGAGACGTTGAAGCTCAAGATGACGAGCTTAGGCATTCCACGAGACGAACAGGCCGGTGGTGGAATCCTGGACCCCATCTACGTCGCGACTGAGAAGACTTACGTCGAGGAGTACGAGGGTCGAGATGTCCCAAGCGCTCGCAGCCGCAGCCGCCGGCGGAGCGGAGGAGCAGCCCCATCTGGGGGAATGAAGCCCCCCGGGGGCGCACCTGACGACTCAGAGTCATCTGCCTCCGAGACGATGGCTCCTGGCACCCGAGGCCGGCTGCGAGCGAGGTCGCCCCGGGATGAGAGACGGGGGCGCGACTCCGCCCCGGACCCGAGGGATCCGGGGCGCAGGTGCGGAGGCCCTGAGGTGCCGCCGGCGGACACCCGCCGAGGCGCGCACCAGAAGGGCTGTGCGGAGGCACACCAGGACGAGAGTCGATCATCGCCGGCGACACCCCGGCCTGGCACCACCGAGGCCAAGGAGTACTTGCACTGGTGCCTGGAGCACGCTGAGTTTGCTCCCGAGCTGGTGAAAGAGGTGACGGACCTGGGGAACCGCCTGCTACTCGCCGCAGGGAGCGTGGAGGCAGCAGCAGCGAGGCTCCGCGAGGAACGGGAGCTCGTTCTCGGGAACCCGCTCGGGGGAGTGCTCGACCCCGAGTTCGGCGAGGCGCTCGAGGAGGATCACCGGCTGTACCTCCAGGAGATGGCGAGCAAGGGCGTCCCCGTACGGAGGCAGCAGCCCAGGCGCCGGACTATAGCCAAGCCCCACGCCTCCGCGAGGGACCATGCGCTGGAGATGTACGCCAAGGCCTGGAAGGACACGTCCTACGGCGCCGTGCTCTGGGCCACTCCGGAGGCCGAGGCCGCCCTGTCCGCTTCCGAGCTCATCGAGAGCCCGTCAGGGCGCGTGCCCAAGATGTTGCCGGACCGCACAGTGAGCAGCGAGGGACGCCCCATACATGATATGAGGGTAGCCAATGGAGACTCGCCCAAAGAGCTGCATCCGCCAGCGCTCCAGCCCAAGCACGAGGCCCTTGTGCGCCTGTCACTCTGGTGGTCCGCACGCCACCCGGGCGTTCCGCAGGTGATAGCCAAGCGGGACGTGTCGCGGGCCTTCAAGTGGCACTGGGTGCGAGACGAGGACGTGGCCGAGTTTGGCACCTCCCTCCCCGGCGACGCCGTGGGTCTGACCACGCGCGTGATCATGATCCATTGCGTGATGGTCTTCGGGTGGTCGGGGTCGCCGGGCGAGTACATGGCGTTCGCCTGGAGTGCCAAGTGGGACCACGAGCGGCGCCGCCCACCAGACCCAGCGGTCAACGACACAGTGCGCTGGTCGTCCAAGTGGCTGATGGACGACGGCGTCTTGGTCGAGCCGCTGGTCGGCCTTCGGCCCTGGCTCAGCGCAGCCGACTGCGACGCGAGCATGCGGCGCGTCTGGGGCAACGACGCGATCAACGTCGACAAGATGGCAGAGGAGGGCACCTTCCAGGCAGAGCAGCTGGTCTGGGGCCTATACTTGGATGTGGACAAACAGCGCTCGAGGCTCCCCGAGCCCAAGTGCGTGAAAGCCGCCCACCTCTTGGCGATCGACGAGCTTCGCTATGGATGCCGACGGGTTCCCATCAAAGTCGTCCAGGAGCTGAGGGGGTCGGCCCAGTTCTGGGTGGCTACGCAGCCGGCTATCAAGCCCGAGCTGCCAGTCATTGACCGCCTCCTCGGCGGTGGGCTCAGCGCAGCCTGGGCGGAACCCCGAGGTAGCGCTGAGGAGGTCGCCCTTGCCTGGGACGAGTGGGATCAGACTCTCGAGCTGCTGCGAGTGCTCTTCGACGCACCCGAGGCCTGGGCGTCCACTTTCGAGGCAAGCTTCATTTCCTGTCTAGGGTCGCGCGAGCGCCTGGCACTCCCAGGGGCCGCCGCCCGGACGAGATGGACTGGGGGGGACGCAACCACGACGACCATCGGCAGCATCGACTGGGGGCGGGCAGTGGCCGGCAGCAAAGCGATGCCACCTCACTACATGGCCGTGGACGCCGCCCCGCTCCTACGCCAGCTGGAGGACGTGCTGAGCCACCCAGGGGCCGAGAAAGATTGGGCGATCGCCATCGTGGAGCTGCTCGCGTTTGTAGCCCTAGCTGCCGCTAGAGGTCGCGAGTGGCAAGGCGAGCTGGTCTTCTACGTCACCGACAACATGAACGTGCGGTCGTGGATTTCGAAGAGGCGGCCCAAGCACCCACTGGCACGGCACCTCATTCGCCTCGTCCAGCGCCTGGAGGCTTGCTACGGGTTCAGCACGACCGCGCTGTACATACGCACTTACCACAACGACATCGCAGACTGGCTGTCGCGGGAAGAGGCCAAGAAGGTCCACTCCGAACTTCTTCGCAAAGGGTGGACCCGTATTGAGCCGCCCGAGGAATGGGGGAAGATGTTGGCCGAGGCAAAGGAGCACCTCCTGCGGCTACCTGGAGAGGATGGGCCCATTGCGGAGTCAGCGCTCCGGCATCGGGCGCTGAGGACCCCAACAGCGGTGCCTCGCAACCTCGCCCTCACAGGGCGCCGGGGCCTCGAGCTGGGAAGCCCACTGGGAACTTACGGGCGAGCCTGGGAGCAGCTCGGTGGCGAGCTGACCACGGGCGACTCCACAGGCGTGGACTGGATCATGTGCTCGCTGGCTCTGGACCCGAAGGGCTTTGAAGTCGAGAAGTTGGCATCCTCAGTTACCAGGGCGAGGCCACAAGTTGTCGTGGTCGACGCCCCGGGCAAGCTCGACCTGACCCGCGTGGTCAAGGTACTGCGCAAGCTGGGGTACCGCGTGTACGATCTGGAGGTCGTCTGCACCCACTACGGCGACATGACAGCTCGAGCTCGGAGCCTGATCGTGGCGGGCAAGGGGCCAGCGGGCGTTAGCCTGGCGGGCATGCGCATGCCGCCGGCGCGCCGCTGTCCCCATGGAGTGAAGCACGCGCTGAAGGACAAGCCCAGCGAAGGCTGTCACCACTGGCTCGACGACGAGGGGAGCGTCACTTGG